TCCTAAGGTTTGAAGTTAGTTGTTATTTCCCACCTCAGCAATGGAATCACCGAAAGTAAAAAAAGCTGGAACATCTTTGGCTGATGAGCAGCTAACAAAAAACAAGTAGCCTACCAAATTTTGGAATAAACTCCTCATGATGAAATAATCTGCATATAATATAAGACTTTCGTTTTTTTTTTTTTTTTGGTTAAGAGGGCTGGTTAAATACAAATTTGTTAATTGTTTAGGAAACTTGTGCCAATCAGTGTACCAAACATTAACAAAATTTAAGCATAGTAAATTCTCTAGGCTGGGCAGGGCAGTGACCCAATGAACCTTGTTAGAGCTAGTTTGGTATTGTTGTGTTTTAAAAAAAAAAAAAACTGCTTCTGCTAATGCTGTGAGAATAAATAACTGTAAAAAAATAGTTGAGTATTTGGTAATCTCTTGTTATAGAAGTGCTTTTAGCAAAAAACACAATGTTCAAGTGTTTGATAACTTTTATGTAAAAGTGCTATGAATGTGTAAAACGACCAAAACCAATATGGTAGTAAGTGTGAAATATAATGGATGTTAAGAATTTTCGCATAATGTTTATCATTCTTATTCATATGTGGCGAATTTTCAAGCCAAACAAGTGGACAACACAAATTGGGTGGAGCACGTGTGGCTGTTGAGCTTCACACATGGGCTATCTGTTTGATACCATGAAGAAAGTTGAGGTTCCATCATAAAATCAATTGGCCATATTGGTGTTAATTATTGAGGTTCCACCAACCTCTTATAAGCCCTTATAAGATTTCTCCTTTCACCAATGTGAAACTCTTTTTCCTTCACATCCTCGCATATAGCAACTTACGTTCCTGATTAATTATTTGCTTTCTCTCTATCTTGTTTTGGCTTTGCTGCAGACGTTCCTGATTAGCAGCAAACGTTCCTATTGATTTCAACTTGGCTTGATGGATTTTAGATGGCTTTCTCTTGTAAAACCAATTATCAAATGATGAGAAACCAATTATCAATTGATTTGATTAGCTTGATGCTATTTCTGTTTTATATTAATGATATTTCTAAATATATTAGTCATGAAAAACAGGTGCAAATGATATAATGGAAGATATTAGTTTTAATATGAAGTTGTTACAACAAGTAATCTTCAATCATAGTCATTAGTTGTTACTATTTGTTTTTTAGTCACAAGTGTTGTTGTGACTAATAAAGCTTTTGTTTAGAGGGTTATTGTACAAAGAATTTAAGTTATGAAGACCGGTTGTGACTAAATAATTATTAATCATTATAAGAGCGTTGTAACCAAATTTTTTTAGTCATAAAGAGTAATTGTAACTAAAAGGATGTTGTGACTAAAAATTAGAATTTGGTTTAATTTTCTAGTAACAAGGCATGTTGTGAATGATGCATATTTAGTCAGTCAATGTATTGTGACTAAATTAATCAGTCACATGGTTTTTAGTCACAATCCCGTTACAGAGTTTTTCACAACTAAATGTTAGTCACAATGTTTTGTACTTTTAGATACGACTTTCGTTGTGACTGAAGTCTTTTTTTAGAGTGTAAGAGCTATCCCATTTTTCCAACAAATTTTCATGATTCCTAATCAGTGTTAAGGAAATTTCCAAGTTGTAATGAGTGTCGTCTTGATGGGTTGAGGTTTCAGAAGTTTAGGATTTTAGGATAGGAAAAATGAGATGTACTAGAGTTGATAAGAGTAGAAAGTGAGGAGGCAATTGGGGAGAAAATGTTGATGCGCGGTCTATATATTAGAGAAGTATATGTAGGAATATTTGTGTATTTGAAACGAAAACTATTTTTGATAAAATGGGATTTCTAGTAATTAAGGTGGCTGATTTACCAATAAAGAATCGACATACTTATCGATAACATATATATGTGATGTTAGTATTTCTCAAGATTCTAAAAAATGCTAGGCGCTAGTCGGGCGGTCAGCTGGCGCCTAGCGCCTAGGCGGCTAGGCGGCGCCTAGACGGGTGCCTAGACGGCCTAGGCGGATTTAAGTATATGTGTAAAATTTGAGGACTTTTTATGTTGATTTTGTAACATTTAGTCAGCCTATTTATTTTAATCATTGTTGGGGATAACGACATGAAGGGATCCAAGTCGTGAGGAGTCACTCATTGGGTCGTGGACAACCAAAGAAAAACATGAAGAAAGGCCCAAGAAAATAGAGACAAAGTAGCCCATTTTTCTGTTCACACACACAACACACACAAGCACCAGAAACCCTAGCCGGTTTGAAATAAACATTGGATGCTCATGATACATTTGCCTCGAGCCCAGAGCCTCTTCTGTCCATTCCCATCTCCTTTCTGAATAATAATAATGTTGCTTGTAGAACCCGAAGCCTCTCTCTCTCTAGAAAATCCAAAAGCCATATCTCTTGCTCTCATTTCAAACCTATCCCTCTCATCCCTCTCTCTCTCTCTCTAGAAAATAAAAAAGAGCTCCCAGTTCTCCAATCGCAAACCTAGCGCCCATATTTACAGCTCATCCATTTCATAGCAATTAAATCCATTTCAAACCTATCATTCGCCGTCCCTCTTCTTTACCTTTCCGCTCCTTCACCTTTCTCTGCAATTGCAGATCGATGGTTATCACTCTCATCCTAGCCAAATCGTCGTCTCACTTTGTTTTCTCTGCAATTGCAGATCAAAACTGTAGGGATGTTCGCCCAGTCGTCCAACCTCATTACCACAGCAAAGGAACGACGTTGTAATCGACTTACCATCAAAGCCGCCTAGGCGGTCGCCGAGGCCGCCTAGCCCGCCTAGCGCCCGTCTAGGCGCCGCCTAATACCATTTCCGATTTCTTCAACGATTTTGATTAAATCGCAGCGGCGAACCACCGCCCAGCGCCTAGGTGGCCGTCTAGGCCGCGTTTTCGAACACTGGTATTTCTTGTGTTATAATGAGTCCAAGATATAATTAATTAAGAGGTGTATTCAATTGGGAATTTGAGAGATTTTAATAGATTTATAAATTCATGAATTTTTACGAAGTTTAACTGATTTGTAGAGATTTTATATAAAATTTTGATTCAATTTCCTCGAAATTTTATGAAAAGATATGAGATTTGTGGATACTTAAAATTCTGATTAAATACCTCTAAATTCATTAAAAAAATTAAAATTCCTCAAATACTTAATTGAATACATCCCCTTAGTATGTCTCACTATAATTTGAATTAAATAATAACACAAAAAAATTTAATACTTAAAATGGTTACAACGTGATGGGGTTGGACACGAAAAAAAATGCTACCTATTAATGGGGCCACAAGACACAGATTTAAATATTCTTCCTCGCCTAAGCTAGCTAAATAGTGGATAAATTAAGAGTGCATTTTTGCTCACCACCATTTAGTGTGATCTATACTCTTCATCCTATTTAAGAATTAATGGTACAACACGTTGTTAAATTTAAGAACTAAAAAAAATTAATATGAGAGTTCAAAGATTAAAATCAAATTAGGTGTAAAATTCAAAAATCATTGCTACAATTAAACCAAAATAAGCTGACAATAATGTCTAATATTCCGACTGTAACACCCCACCCCGAAATATTTATTTTCAGGAAATAATTCCGATTATAGGCCCAATTCAAACTCTTGTTTATTTTTACTACCATTAAACACTATTCTTTATTTAAATTTTCTAATTACTCACAAAATCTACAACCAAAATTTACTTACCAAAAACATAAGACTTAATTTCGTCTTATTCATCGGATTTCTTTTTTATTTTTATAAATCAACTTCCAAACAAAATATAATTCTCTATTATTTAAGGTTACATCTGACCCCTATTAGACTACCTACGTACTCTTAAACGGGATTAAGCCTTTCGTAGTTCACCATTCATTCTTTTATCCATTTTCGAAATTATTCTAGTAATAGAAATATTCAACTTTAGCTTTCACAATCGAATCACCTCAAATGGGTACCAATTACGGATTTAAAATGTCAAAATTTGCATGAAAAGGCAGCGTCGGCCCACTGGCCATGCACCGCCGCACACGGTGGTTTCCAACGAACGAAAATCCAATTTTCCGACGAACTCCAAAAATTACCCAAATTTACAGGCAAGTAGAACTCAATGAGAAAAACAACTTTCATACCTAGGCCGAAATCTAATTCAGCCTGGAAACACCTAAAATTGCCCATGAACCGCCGGAACCCTAGAATTGGGTGTGCTCCGATTTGATCTCCATACTCATTCCAACGCCTCCTCCACTGATTGGGTTTTGTTCCTGAGGTTGAGGGTAGTCTATTGGTGGTGGTAATTAGCTGAATTGGCTTCACGATTGGCGGATCGCCGCCGTACACCCACACGGACCACCGTTCATTTTTCCCCAAACTACCGCCAAATTTCTTCTAAATTTGGGTGAAAAGGGAAGAGAGAATGACGAGATGATGATTGGGCATGGTAAAATGGTCCAATTCGTTGGAAACCCGATGGAAAACCATTGGAAAATATGGAGAAAATGGGTCGGGTCATGCGGGTCAAGGGAAACCCGGTTTCCCCCCTTATTTTCTCCTTCCCTCATTTCCCTCCTTTCTTCTCTTCCCATTGGCCCATTCTCTTGCTCTCTCCTCTCCCCATTTGGCCAACCTCCCCTCCTCCTCCTTTTCTCCTGAAACTCCTCTCTCCCCTTTTCTCTTATTTCCCTCCTCTATCACGCTGCCATTTGGCAGCTTCAAGACTCCTTTTTTTTTTTAAGCCTCTAATTTCTTTGTTTCAACTTCGATTCACAAACATTTTTCGCCCACGCTTTCGTAGGGTCGAGCTCTATCCAATTATATCAAGAAATACGATAAAATATATGAGGATAAAATACGTCCTCGTAAAATTACATTTAGTCAACTAGGGGCATTTTCGTCTTTTCCACTTATTGATAAAAATTCTGGAAACAATTTTTTTTACAATTTCTCAATTCAATTTTCATAACCATAAATCAATTTATTTTCGATTTCTCCTCATATTCGTAATTATGAATATCTAATTCATATATTTAAATTTTTAAGGTATTACACTAACACTCCTAAAATTCTTCAAATTAAACTTGTAAACTGGGAAATTTGTATAAAAGAAAACTCGTAGACTTGGACTTGGTTCCAATATCAATTATTTAATCAAAAGGTCATCTCGTTTGTTTTTTAATTACAAACATGATAGTCCCACTTCATATTCATGTCATTTCAGGTTCACGGATCACTGATTAAACTTGCAGAAGTTGCCTTATATTCATTGGTGACATATAAGTTGAGTTACCATCCATCATATGCCTTGCTGCAATGAGATTACCAGCCTCCGTTAAGTGGAATGGATCCCAGAATAAATACTTTGATCTGTCGGGACAAATTTTAGACAAAAAGGTACACGGGATTAGTCCCCCTTGGGGCCCGGCAACGGAGCAGCAAGCAGAAACGCCATTCTCAAACCCTATGCATGAAACATAACAGAAAGTACCACTGTTTAATTAGAACGAAAGCACCACTGTTAGTTGTTACTTACGTTGATAAATTGATTAATAATAACGCTGCTAGTTGTGGAAAAATAAAAATATTATACGAATTAAGTACCATATGACACGTAATTGTTAGAGAGGTCTTCCAACATTTGGTAAATATCTGCATAAATAAACTTTGCCCCTTTGAGATTCTTGTTGAGCTCCACGAGCAGGCCCTTCAACTTGGCGTTATACCTCTGGGCGGTACGATTTAGTATACGAACACAACTTCCCTTTGGAACTGGATGTATATCTTTCTCATATGGGATACACACAATAAGTCCAGCATTAGCCACAACAATCTTTCTAGCATCCAAGCTGTGGAGTGTCTGCAAAGAAAATGGTGGAATATATCTGTACAAATCTATGTATCATGTTGTATTTGTGAAAATGTGAAGTTTATCATATCTTGCATGTGCTTATAAAGAGTTCGATTACTTCGCATAAAATCAATTGATAATGCGGGGAGTGGCCTAACTCCTTATAATTTATCCCTCTTGCAAGGTTTATTAAACTGTTGATGTTGGAAAAATTCTTCATAACACGGCCTCTTCATGTCATGTGGGTGAATTTCCAAGCCTCACACATGGATAACACAAATGTAGCGAACCCCTCTCATGGCCGAACTAGAAATGTACTTGGATTAGAAATCCTCACCCTATTTTGATCGGATTTCGGCCAATCCTAACCCCTATAGGACTTTGAACCAAGCTTCTTAATGAACCAGATTCATTCCCTAATTCTAAGCATCTTCAGCTTTAAGACTCATTGTTGCCCTAGGGTTTGACTACTCCATCCTTATCCAAAACAATCCTCCCCATAACAGGATTTGGCCGACCTTGAGTGGACAACCTACGACAAGATTCCAGATGAATGTCACTGGACCGAGAATGACTCTAAGCTCAGACCAAAATATTATTTTGGGCCCAAACAGAACGACGTTGAGATTCCACCATATATAAAATTAAGTGGCAATATAGGGAGTAATCTAACTCTTTATAAGCCCTTGCAAGATTTGTTAAACTTTCGATGGTACATATCCACAAATCCTCACAATAATATAGTTTAAACCTATAAGAAATTTTACCTTAAGTCCTAATTTGAGTCTTGAAATCAAGAAATCGAAATAATCTTCTTCGCTCATGGAAGAAGTCTCGGAATACATAATATCGTTTGAGCCGATTGCAATCGCATAAATTGCTCTACTCAACAATTTCTGAGCTGCAGGAATACCAATCCTTGACATGATTGCTATCGCAGTCCTCCCATGGTAACTGATTTGTGTATCGAAATTGAGTAAAGTGCCCTAATAATACATAGATATCCGACTTGTTATTACCGCTCATGTCATGCAAGCATACTTCTATCATAAATAATATATAGATAAATAAATAAGAAAGATGAAGGACAAGGAGAAATCTTGCATATAAAAACTGTTTATGTTTGGAATCAAGACTAGTTAACTTCCTAATTGCCGAAAAATCTAGCAGATTGATCAGAAAAACTTACATAAAATGTTTCAGTGGAATTTGAAATTCCACTGGCAGAGGAAGCATAATTAACACCTTGTAGAAGCATGTCTCCAACTGTAGTTGGTGCCAAGTAAGGAGGAGTAAAATTTTTAAAACCCATTTCCTGCTCTTTCATAACAAAATAAAAAAATTAACACAGTAAATAATAAATGGCAGAATTGAATTCCCAAATAGCTAGTCTTATATGTGAATCAATATCGACCAAAATTTACGTACGGAGAATGTCGAAAACTGTTCTCCCATTCGTAAATCGTCCTGTTGGCTTCCCAAAATCAATTCCATTGGGGTAAAAGTTTCCCTTTACTATGGTTGGGAGGTAGTTGTTGTTTCCCACATCAGCCAAGGAATTGGCAAAAGTTAAAAAAGCAGGAAAATTATTTTTGGCTGAGCAAGTAACTAACAAGAAGTAGACTGTAACAGTTTGGAATATAATCCACATCATGCAATAATTTGGAGCTAATTTAACCTATTTTACATTTTGGAAAGAGGGTTGGTTATATACAACTTTTTAAATGTACTGGAAACTTGTGCACCAAACATGATTAAATAATTTTTGCCTAACTCTCTAGGCCGGCACAGTTCGATTTGTTATTTTTCCTGACCACTAGGAGAACATCAATTCTTACAGGTACAATACCATTTCATAGGTTCAACCATTCAAGTAAACAGGGAGAAACTCATTTTTGGGTCCAATATTGCCGCAAAGTATTAATACAGACGAGAAGTTTCGTCGGGACTGTCGTTGATAAAGTGGCAATTCTTTTTCCAAACTAGAATCTCTTCAAATACCACTGCAACAATTGATGTATAATTATAAGAATACTTAGGGACATCTGTAATGGGAGATGCAAAATTCTTCAATGGAGAAATGTAAATTATCCATCTTCGTTAGAAGATATAAAAAAAACTTAAATTTATAATTTCTTTTACATATTTATTGGGGATCCTATTAATCAAATAGAGAAAATTAAATGCAATCTCAAATATATATACTCTTATCAGAGGAGGCGTTGAGGGAGAGCGAAATGTGCAATCGCAAAAGACCTTAAATTTGGAGGGGCTCCAAAAAAAATTTCACAAGGCCTCAAATTTGGAGGGCCCCCCAAAAAAAAAATTCATCTAAAATTTTTATGTAATAATGTTATATATGAAAAAAATTTGAGATCTCATTGTGCACTCCTTATAAGTATATATAAAAAAAAATTCTTTCTAATTATAAAAATTTGGAGTGCACTGAGATATTTGAAGTACCAATAACAACACCCTAAAAACGAGTTTTTCAACTATTAATAATACTATATATTCAAGTAAAACTTTGAAATTAGAGTTTTTGAAGCTTTTTTTTCTTGTTTGGTTGTTTAAGATTGAAGTGCATTTGATTATTTGGTGAATGTTATGTTTGTAGCTTTTTTTACTTAATATTTAAAAACATTTATAAATTTACAATCATTGAGTCCTAAGTTCATTTTGATTTAAGTTATTACTTTCTAACATCAATATTTTGTTCTACTTTTTTTGGAATACTATCAGAAGGAGAGACCTTTTATAAATTTCGCACAGAGCCTCCGAAATCTCATAGAAGTCCCCGACTCTTATTGGAGGAGATTTTCATTTACATGTTGAAAATATAATAGGAATGTACATATAGTTTTTACATGTTAAATTTGTATTTCTCCATTGAAGATGCCGTTAGGCATACAGAGTTTCTCCTTTTCTCGCCTACTTTCGGCCAATGAATAAGACGTAGTTGAACGTGCACCAAATATTTGTGGATTGTGGACTAGGCTCCTCCATTTGTACTTGATGGTAAGCCTTTATGACCTAGACCAGATCGAGTTATTCTTTTCTTTTCTTTTCACATAGACCATGGCTGGTCTGGACGCCCTCAAACGGCTAGCCTGATTGTGTCCACTCTCTCTAAAACACACTATGTTTTTTTATCAAGTTATATTGTATCAAAAATTTATTAATTATGTACAATATACTTATATTGATCCTTCTGGTCACTAAAAATTCTTAACCCTAAACATTAATTATGTACAATATGCTTCTAATTTATAATTTATAATTTTAAACTAAATTTAGAATTACTGAATATCATATCTAAACAAGTCAATTAGCAAGCAATTCAACTCTTAAACCTTACCTTCTATTCAGAGTCCCCCTCTTTGCTTATTGCTTTTGGCATCTCCAAGACATCAAGACTCCCTGTTTTTAATTTTTCTTTGAATCAAATGAATCATGTAATTAGGTAATCACTGAACTCTAACTTTGCAATTTTCTTTGAACAAAATACCACGAATTAGCTTATATCTTTTTTTTAGGGATGTAATATCCACACAACCCATTTTACTTCTCACACAGCCTTCTAATTTTCGGTCGTTGGATTAGATGAATTGAAAAAGATCAACGGATAGAAATTAACAAGGGTGTGTGAGAAGTAATTTGGGGTGTGTGGATAGCACACCCATTTTTTTATATGTTGTTTATTAGTAGGCGTGAGAAATTTTTTGTTAAAAGATATGTATTTTTATTTTTGTTTTTGTTATTATACTCCATCCTTATAGTTATTTAAGATTAACTTTTCTTGAAATACTTTTTGACTTCGCCACTCATCACGCACCCATTTTTTTATATGTTGTTTATTAGTAGGCGTGAGAAATTTTTTGTTAAAAGATATGTATTTTTATTTTTGTTTTTGTTATTATACTCCATTCTTAGACCATCTCCAACCCTGGGCTAAAAGCCAAATTACCCCCCCCAAACATTCTCCAACCCATGCTAAAATTTTAGGCTAAATGCCAAATGCTATTTCTGGGCCAAATACCCCCTAGCTTTCCTCCCGGGCTAAATGCGAAATGTTTATCGGAATTTAAATTTTTTTAGATTAAAATGTTCATAAAATTAATTTACAATAATCTACATATTTATTTTTTTTTTAAATTGATTTAAGAAAAAAATTTAGGCTAATTTCATTCTTTAATAATTCCGGGCTAAAATTTTAGGGTAGAAGGGTTGGAGTAGAAAAGATGTTTCTGGGCTAAAAACTAAATTTTCCGGGCTAAAAAATTTGGCTTTTAGCCCAAGGGTTGGAGATGGTCTTATAGTTATTTAAGATTAACTCTTGAAATACTTTTTGACTTCGCCACTCATCACCCACTGGTTGTCAAACTACTAGCCTTACTCTCTTCTCGTAAAAAGCAGTCGGGAAGAATCAAAATTTTCGGAATTGGGTCTTTAACTACAAATGCAATCTACTTTCTTTAGAGCGATTAGAAAGAACTCAACAGTCAATCTTGATAGTGTTCTCCTTATATTAATTACAAGAGAAAAAAAAAAAACAACATATGAATACGTGAGATTCAACCATTCATAACTCATAATATCAGGAAATATATTTTCACACAATTTTCTTTTGGCAACAGGGTTACATATAACTTTTTGATGAACCCATGGAATCTTCCTTTTCTTTTAAGAGGGTTGCACCAAACATGGTTACTGTGTGCCAAACTATCTAGGTATTTTGACTTATAATTGTTTTTTGCCTCCATATTCCTTCGACCTCAGGGATATGCTATATAAAGTGAATTGCTGGCAATTAAGTGGCAACCTAGCTAATTCCTAAGACCATCTCCAACCCTTGGGCTAAAAGCCAAATTTTTTAGCCTGGAAAATTTGGCTTTTAGCACATAAACATCTTTTCTGCTCCAACCCTTATGGCCTAAAATTTTAGCCCGGAATTATTAAAGAATGAACTTAGGCTAATTTTTTTTCTTAAATCAATTTAAAAAAAAATAATAAATATGTAGATTATTGTAAATTAATTTTATGAATATTTTAATCTAAAAAAATTTAAATTCCAATAAATATTGAAAAATCATTAAATTTTTCACAAAGCAAGCTACTTTCACCAACCGTTCATCTTTCACCAACCGTTCAACACAAAACTTTCAACTTTCACTAACCGTTCATCAATCATCCTCTATATAAACACAGGTCCAATATTAGTTGATCACACAATCTTTCAACCTTCAATCATCCTCTATATTCACCAATCTTTCAACTTTCAAAGAGTTTTTGTTTCCTAAAAATTCTCAATATCTCATCAATGGGTGATAGAAGAAGGCGTAGCAGGGCAACAGAGATGGCACAATACCAAGCAAGGCTTAACCTTGAGGAATCAGAACTGATCAACGCCGAAGCTGAACTTGTAAACTCGTTTATGCAATATGAGCACCATGACGAATCTAGCCATCGTGGTTTTGTCACGAGATGTTCATTCGTGCAGCATGATAGAGAAGAGTGTCATGACCAAATGATGAAAGATTATTTCATTGAGCGGCCGAGATATCCTGCTCATGATTTTCGGAGGCGGTTTCGGATGAGAAGAAAGCTTTTTAAAGGCATCTTGAACGCAGTTGTCAATCATGACCACTACTTTGCAAGGAAGATAGATGTTGTAGGCCGACAAAGTCTATCACCTCATCAAAAGCTCACATCTACATTTCGAATGCTAGTTAATGGGTGCTCTGCTGACTCAACTGACGAATATTGCCGACTTGCGGAGAGTACTGCTATTGAGAACCTGAAACGCTTCTATCAAGCAATTCAAGCCATTTATGGAGCCACATACCTCCGCAAGCCAACTTGTGAAGACTTGAAAAGGCTTCTACGCAAGGCAGACAAAAGAGGCTTACCTGGCATAATAGGAAGTCTCGATTGTATGCATTGGGAATGGAAGAATTGTCCTACTGGTTGGGCTGGCCAATTCAAGGGCCGTCATAACAAGCCAACCATCGTGCTGGAGGTTGTGGCATCTTACGACACATGGATTTGGCATGCATTCTTCGGCTCTCCCAGATCAAACAACGATATCAACGTTCTTTGGTCTTCTCCTTTGTTCGATGAGGTTGTGAATGGATGGGCACCATAATTTCGATACAAGGTAAATGGTAATAGGTATGAGCTAGGTTACTACCTAACTGATGGTATTTATCCTAGTTGGTTTACCTTTGTTAAAAGTTTTTCTCATCCCGATAGTGTAAAGAAGAAATTATTTTCGCAGAGGCAAGAGTCTTACAGGAAGGATGTGGAGAGAGCGTTCGGGATCTTACAAGCTCGATGGGCCATTGTTAGAGGGCCTGCACGATTTGGCAACCCGAAGACCTCCATTCAATCGTGATGACGTGCATAATTTTGCACAATATGATTGTGGAAGATGAGTACATCGAAATTGGAGAAGATTCAGACGAAGATGTGGATGATGACCAACCAACACATGCAAGAGCTATTGCAAGAGATGTTGAATATCTCACTCCAACCACATATGAGACCCGACATTATAGGGTCACCTTGGGTGAGTATATGAGACGTTTAAATAGAATTCAAGCTCCTCAAATTCATGACACACTCCGCAAGGATTTGGTTGAGCATGTGTGGCGCCGAGAAGGTGAAC